GTGAATCCCTGTTTCACTTACTGTCCACCATTTTGAGCTTTGCTTCATTCACTAGACAGCATTTGGGCAGAGCCATTTCATCCGCAGGATGGTTTGGGGTGGTCACCTCAGGCCCCATGCTTTGGGGGGGTTCAGCGGCAGCCACCCCAACCATCCTATGGGTATAAGAGCCCGGTCTGGTACAAGGTGGCAGCAGGGTTCAGGCTCCCCCACACTCACTGCAGTGGCAGGAGTCTCAGAAAACAGAATAACCCAGCAGGCCTGCTCTGCTGCCATCTCTCAGCTAAGTCACTGTGCTTCACCACAGTGTCAGGAAGCAGAGTACCCCAGCCAGCCACCCCTTGCTCTGCTCTACTGTATTCTACTCTGAGGACTTGGGAGAAGAGAGCACATCTGGCTGAGGTCAGGCAGGGCACTCCACTTTCTGCTGCTGTGGTGAGCACAGGAGGGCACAATCCCTGCTGCTCCCCCATACCAGAACCCCTGGTAAATCTCCAGCTCCTGTCTCTCAGAGGAAGGGATTGTGGAGTGGAGGGTGGGGTGGGAGTAGAGCAGGAACAGGAAAAGGCAGGGCAGGGAAGAAGCAGCAGTGGGAGTAGGGTTGCCAGGTGTCCGGTTTTGAACCGGACAGCAGTATTTGAGCTTTCTGTTCAGGAAACAAACTGAGAAAATATAAATGAGAAAATACAAATGTCTGGTATTTTCTAAATAAGATGTAATGTAGATTGTGATGTAATGTCAAGTGTGTCCGGTGTTTTTATTGAAACCACCTGGCAACCCTAGGTGGGAGGCTTGGAGAAAGGGGTGAAGTGGTGATGGTGATGCAGGTTGGGGGGATGCCCTCATGCCCTACTAGGTATAGCTCTGCATCTGGAGAACCCTTTTCTTGAGAGGAGACTGGAAGAACTTGCCTTGGTCAGTCTCGCAAAATGGAGGTTGAGAGGGGACATTAATTGCTCTTTCTAAATACATTATTGGGTAAATACCAGAGATGGCGAAGACTTATTAAAACTAAAGGACAATGTTGGCACAAGAAAAAAATAGATAAACTAACCAGGAGCCTAGTCAGGGTGCTGGATGTAAGTTTTCTAGCCATCAGAGGGGTGAGATTCTGGAATAGTGTCCCAATGGGAGTTGTGCGGGGAAAATAATTAATTAGTATCCAGATTGCTGGATACATTTATGACAATTATATGAGAGGATTGCTTGTGATAGAAGGGGACAAGGCTCACCAACGCTGGAACTCAATTTTGAGTAATGTTTTATGTTTCCCAAAACTTTTGCTTCAGTGTTTTAGCTGACTATCTGCAGGGATAAGGAAGGGATTTTTTAAAATCTTCCCTTGAAGCATCTGGTAAGACCACAACTGGAGATTGGATGGGGAGGGCCAAGGGCTCTGAGGTTGCTCCAAGCATTTCTTCTCTCAGGTGCTAGGCTGGCTGGTTCTTGTTCACATATTCAGGATCTGACTGCCATTTGTAGGGTCAAAAAAGAATTCTCCCCCAGGTCAGACTGCAAGTGACCTTGGGGTTTTTCACTTTCTTTTGCAGTATGTGGGTGTGGATCATTTGACAGGATTATTTGGGTATATCTCACATAATCATGTCATTGCTTTTGTGGATGCCTCGGGCATTAAGTGCACCTTAGTCCTTCCTATTTTCCACCTGTGACACATAATAGTCTAGTCTCCTGGACTTGGATCTAATTTTGGTTGATGGTTTAATGTATGAGTGCTGGGTGGTGCTGGTGGCCTGTAATGCAGGCAGTCCCCGACTTACATGGATCCGACTTATGTCGGATCCGCACTTACGAACGGGGCTTTTCTCGCCCCGGAGCTCACGGGCGGCGGGTCGCCACCCGTGTCCTCTGTGGCAAGAAAAGCTTCTCCCGGTCTCCCTGGTCTGCTGGGGGGGGTCCAGCAAAGGCGCTGGACCCCCCCCAGCAGACCAGGG